ACTGAGCTTCCGAATGAAGAGAAGCCAGGTGACGCCCACTACGCGGGTGTTGGTTCGTTGCCTGGAACCAAACGTGAGAAGGGTGTTGCAGAGACCCCTGAAGAGAGGTTACATGAAGGTACGCTTTGGGCTATGGAAGCTGGCGACTCGCATCTTGCTAGTAAGTGATTCTTTAGTCATATATGCAGACAGCTGCGGATGTATGTTCTCCAGTCGCCCCATCCCCGCCTGAACTTCCTATCGAAGAGAAGCCTGGACCTGCGCATTATTATGGTGTAGGCTCCCTGCCTGGGATGAACTCTGAGCAGGGTGTCGCTGTTCTACCTGACGAGCGCGGTCAAGGTATGGCTTCTCTCGCCTATCTTCATCACGTCGCTCAGTCAATCTTCAAGATTCTGGAAATTTCAAGCACCGACAAGCTGCTCATGGCGGTTGGAACCGCCGTCGTGGAGTCGGTGTAGTCACCCACAACCAACAACGTCCACACCAGCAGTCGGTCAATCGTCCCCAAAGGAAAGTGGTGCCTAGGTCCACTACACATGACAGTGACAAGACCATCGGAGCGTCGAGGCTCAATAACGTAGATAAGAATCTTAGGATCCTTCGGCATGAAATGGCTGTTGTCCAGGATAAATTGAATATTGCCCAAGAATATTTGGCAAGGAGGGAATTGCTGAAAAATATTGCAAGATCTAGGTGTGCATTCGAGGAAACCTCCGCTGCTGATTCTGCTACATATCTAGGGGAAGCAGCAGCGCGAATACTTCGTAATGCTGAAGCCGCATTTCAGCAAGTCAAGATGCAGACGTCTGAGCTCTTTGGTACGTTCAACTATCTCCTTTGTTAGTTCAAACTGACGCATACGAACCGGGTCTCAGGTGATGATTTGTATAATAAGCCGGGTGCTGTTGGTGGTGCTACCTCGGCTCGTGCTCCATCATCCGGCGCTAACACTCGTGCGCAATATGGGTCTGAAGCGGAACGTGGACCCGAAGAAACCCCCATCTACTCATCCCACGTCACTGAAAAGATTGAACATCACATAACACACGAGTTAATTGAGCCTGCTAGTCCTCCGTTCAAGGAGAAACAGGTTAGTAGATGCCTTCCTTGGTTATCACGAGTGTACTGACAATTCATAGTATACACCCCGACGCGGGAAGAGCAAGAGAGCGGGTATTAATTAAATAGACCTTTGAGAAGTGACCTCGCAAGTAATTTCCATTCTCCTATGTACACTATCATAACCTTGTACCATTAATATCGCTCGTAATTGATAATAATTATAAATATGACCTTATTCCGGTCGTGATTGACTTTGTTCAACATGGTATAAAGTTTCGAAATTCCAGTATCACGTCCAACCTCAGATCAGAGACACCAAAAATACTCGGACAGGTGTCGATTAAGTTTATGCATCAAATGGGAATTGAACCCCCGGCGGGTCGAAATCGCACAAGCACACTTTGAGAAATTACGAATGGCAAGGACCCAGGTTACCACTATCCCATTGATGCTCTGCCGTGAAAGCGAAGTGCGGAGCCGGCGCATGACTAACGATTATGAAGCGGTCAAGACCCCGCTCATTAAATCATGTTTTTTATAAACTAAACAGTCACTTGCATATTAATGATATTCTGAGCATCGATTCCAATCCAAATTACCCGCTTATACCAGGCAAATCTTATATTGACCCGGCACTTCGTGGCCACAAATTACTGAAGTGATGAAGAAAAATTTCGCCGTCAGAAGAGACAACTTACAAGCAGCGTAAGAAATTAATAAAAATATCTCTCTGGGACAATTTTCACTCTTTTCAGCATGAGAGATAGCAGTTGAAGTTCCAAATTACGCATTATTTGAAACTTTTAGAGTGGGATCCAAAGCACAACTAGTCAACAACTGATCCAGCTGTACTTATGCATTCTTTCTATCAAGATGTCAAATATCAAACATACACACACAGACGTACAGTCACATGATGTATTTATCCGATATGCTCGGCAGACTATGAGGAATATTGCTTACCTTGGGCCTTCACTGGAGCTTCATGTGCACTCTGGAGTCATTTTGGCTGTCAGTCAGGCAGTGGGGATAGTACTCTTAAGTCAGGTACGAAATGATAAGCAGCTGCCAAAGTATAAGAATAACTTAAAATCGGCTGCTCTTTTGTTGAAACGTCGAAGGTAGATTGAAGGTAGAGCTCAAGTGACCCACAGTGACTATTATAAAGCTGATATTTACGACACATTGAATGATCAAGATGTAGTTCAGAAGCCAGCGGAAGAAGTGTTAACACTCGAGTCAGTAAGGTCCATGGTGTAAATTATTGTATTATTACTATGTACTAGATCATACAGCGTTCTCGAATCTCGATATTAATCAGCACAATTGTAATACTGTAGTGGCACTGTGGTCTGAGATGTCAATTTATATCTCTTCTGAAAATGATTACATATACATGAATATCCAAAGTTCCTAACTGTACGATAGGGCTTAAGGGCTTGACTTTCTTCGCACTACAAGGGTTCTGGTGAAAAAAGATTCCTAGGGACCATTTCATTAGAGTTCAATGGATTTTTGGAGACATGAGGGCCCCACGACCCATTATGCTGACGGCTTGTATGCAGTCTGTCTAGGCAAAAATAACAACCCGTTCACGATTCAAGTTTGAAGATGAAACTGCCATATGATATAATCAGATGCCCAGTACATAAACTCCAGAACGTCGAGGAAACTAAGGCACATATTACGTTGAATTACACCGGAGGTTTAGAACTCCGGCAACTATGACCCCACTTACGTTGAATTGCACCGGAGGTTTAGAACTCCTGCAACTACTTTGTGTCCTTTGTAAAATTTGAGAATCACCTACACCATACTTTTCGATCTTTGGCAATTATTAGAAGCTCGGACGACGGTGTTCCACTATGTTGGTCTCAATCATAAGACTTCGGGGATAGATAAGAGGCAGAAGGGCGTTCGTCCAGATTTGATTCGGGGCAAGCAGTTCGCTATAAAATGCTTGCTATTCAGCTGATAGATATTCAAAGTACACCACAGCTCCCAGTGTCTCAGTGAGTATCAAGTGTATCTACATTTTCATAGTATTTCTCACATTGAATTGTTTTATAGACAAATCTATAATCAAAGAAATGTCTCCCCTTCGTAGTAGAGCCCCAGTGCGCATTCTCATGTGCTTGGTTTGATATTTTGCTGATCGATTCGAAAGAAACCATTATACACCCTTGTGGTTGAAATTGCAAACAACCAGATGGAAACATTGAAAGAGGGTGGTTTCAACCTCTGCGTCGCTAAGAAAGCTAACGGAGCTTATACCGTCGTTTGGTCTGGAAAAAGTGACTACCTTCACGAGAACACCTTTAGCTGGGAGGAAGACTATCAGGTATTTGGATTGAACAAATTTAAGGTAAGGATCGTCTCGTTCTTAGCGTATTTAATACTGACGTGAATATTGTTGAAGCTTGGCGCTCTCGTCAAGGCAGAAACGAATGAAGTCGACATTGCCTTTGGTCAGACTTGCACCCTCGACAGTGCTGGTGTTATGAGTCCCGCCACTGGTCCCACCGATGATAGTGGTGTTTTTACTGTCAAAAACGAGTTCGGAAAGATCTGTCTTGGCGTAAACCAGAAGCTGAATGGAACTTTCCTTCCAGTTTTTGTATCCCCCACCGTTATTTCAGGGACGGCAACTTTCGAGCCCATCGTCGAGGTGAAGGTTTGGTTGCAGAGCCACACGGAGACCAGCACTATGATCTTCAATGCAGATGAGCCAGGTATTGAAGTTTCATATGCTGGTGATATATCTAAGACTGTTGCGTATGAGGGTAAAGTCGGGTTAGGACAGTGGGTTCAGAAGTGATGGATTGCTATTTACAATGTGTTCATAACATTTGTAGTTGATATATGAAGTAACTAGTGGCCCCTATCTGATAGTCGTACATAGTATCAATGATCAAATACTAGTGCTGATTTGCCAATATCAATAACAGTGTCTATACATTGAAACACTACCGCGTAAGTCATAAATATGATGAGCTGCTCGAAGAGTGTTCTAGGGTCAATTTCAAGAAACAGCTAATTTAGGAGTTTCCTAGCAATGGCAAAGCAGGTACAGAGGTGCTTGAAGAAGATATTGTGGCATCATATTTCTGCCACCATCCGACATGGTTTATAAGGAACCTGTCTGATGCATGCACGAATCGGGTGGAAACATTGGATATGCAAGCTGAGGCAGCGAGTTTGGCTGGAATGACGAGCAAATACATATTACAGAAATGACTGGCAGTAGACAAGCGCTGATAATGCCGTCCTCGATGTGAACCATTTGAGTTGGAAGAGGGTCGTGAACTTTTCGAGTATGCGCATGTCGTAGTAGAGTGGAGATATGATGAGATCGAGCATGTCGCTTTGCGTTTTGCTGTCAACGTCACTGTAATTTGAACGTTTGGATCGCCATATATTTAGAGTATTGAACTTGCTATGGCAAAATCAATGGGCTATAGTTTTAGTTTATCTTTCGATACATTGTTCAAACCTCAACATGACCTTAAGTATTTACAATGTGAATTTTTGAATTCGAACTTTCGGAAATCTCTCAGTCATAATTGATTTTGAATGACATGATACAAAGCTTTCGTGATTCAAGTATCGCATTCAACTGGATATTAGAGACTTACAGCAGTATTATTTTTGTAAATTGTAAGACGAAATCGTCTTTAGGCAGGAGTTATGCGCCAAAACAATAGCGAAGGCTGATAGGTTTTCTGTATGCATCAAGAGGGGATTCAACCCCCAGCAGGTCAAAATCACATGTGCACAGGACCACTCGCAAGGCGATGGCAACGACCAGATTACCACTACCCCATTTATGCGTTGCGAGTGAAAACAAAGTGCAGAACAAGCACGCGACTAACAATTATAGGGCTTAAACGTTCTACAAAAGTATTGAAGTAATGCCGGTGTTTAATCAATTCCGAGTAGCGGTGAAGAACCCGCTCGTTGAATTGTGTTGTATATATGGGTAAATCAGCCACCTGCATATCATCAATAATAATCTACACATCGATTCAAATCCAAGTCACGTCCTTCTATCAGAGAAATTTTATATTGATCCGACTAGTTCGTAGGCCAAAATTTATCGAGGTGATGGAAGAGAAGAGAAAAACTTATGATTATTCGTAACTGAAAATCATCATAAATACGACCTTATTCGGATCGCAACTGAATTTGTTCAAACATGATAGAAAGCGTTTTTCGTGATTCCAATATCAAATCCACCTGTAGATTAATAGAGACCTGTAAACTTAGTACATAATTATCATCTATAAGACGAATTGTTTATTTATAGAGGGAATATACATAAAAAATTAATCACAAAAAGCTTCCGGGAAGATTCGAGTTTATATGCATCAAGGGGGAATTGAACCCCCGGCGGGTCGAAATCACATGAGCATCAAGACGACCATGGCAACGACCCAGGTTACCACTACCCCATTCATGCATTGCAGGAAAAGTTGAGTGCCGAAACTGGAGCGTGAAGTTGAAAACACTCGTCGACAACTTGCTGGACAATCACCTACATTCCGCTGAGTGTTCCTCAAGTGACAATCGGCAAACCCTTTGAGGAATCTTTTCGGAAACCCGGGTTTCTCAATAGAATTATTCAATCTTTTCTTCGGTAGTGATGCCGCCCGCTCGAGAAGTCGGTCACACATGTCGCACACTAATATTTCCACTCCCCATTGTGGACAACTCATGCTGGATAAAACAAAATAACACATATATGAAGGAAGAGTCGTTGAGAACAATTTTTTGGTTGTTGGAGAGAATTATTGAAAATAACTACCTTGAAATTGAGAATGGGTATCAAAATGCCATCAACTTGGTGTCACACCGGCTCAATGAAGCTGATGACATTCTTTTTGTTGGAATACAAACCGTGTTATGTTGCACCTTGCTCTTCATGATAGAATGATGTGAAAATGCGAAAACTTCAAAATAAGAGGTACATAAATACGAGCGAAAAATAAATAAAGTATGAGCTAAGTGTAGGTTAAATGGTAGCTGTCGGTGCTGTTCTGGACCGATACATAGATTGTTCAATCGTCGATTTCACAGATCCGACAGGAGGAACTGCATTAAATTCCATATCGGACTCCACATCATGACTCCTCTTTTTCAATTCATCGACCCTCCGCTTTGAGGTGCGTATCAAGATGAGATTGAATGCAATGCCGATGATAGGAAGATTCTGATATATAATCATAAATAATAGCGAATGAGAAGCTAATGTTGGCTGAATACTCACAATATTGGAAACCATGACGATTGCAAAGGCGCTTGGTGTGAACCAGACGACAAAGTGAGCAGTGATGATCGCCAAGTACAGTGCACCAGATTCTATAATAACGCGAATAATGAACTTGAATTCCCGTAATGAATCTGTTCCTGCATTCTCGTGAGCGGCAGTCCAAATTCTGTAGATTATCATGGCTAAAATCAAAGACAGTGTTAACTACTTTGCAAAGAGATTGACCGAACGGGTAATATGCCTACATGTTGTATAAATATTCAGAGTGACGGTCGATCCCCAGAAAGGCGCAAGTAGAGTCCCCGGACCAACTTTCATGGCCACTGGCTGCCATGCCGTTGAGAAGAGCTGTGTTTGAACAATTTGCCAATACGCTTGGATAATTGCGCATACAAGGCCTCCAAACCAAAGAATGATTGGGAAGATTATGACCATTCGAGAGCGGCTATAAACTATCCAGCATCTGTAGATCTTCATCATGGTTAATATGAAATTTAGCATGTTCCAAATAATTTGTCAAATACCTAGACTTACCAAGATAACATCCGCGATTAATGCTGATGCATTGGTGGTACCACACTATTAAATCATTAGCCTTAGAGTAAAATTATACACTAGAAACTTACAATGACAACTCCTTCCCATTCTTCTTTTGGTGTGGATGTAGTCGCGGGGATTGGGTGGATGCTATTTACCGTGGCCTTCAAGTGTAGAATCACGTTTATGAACGAGAAAATGAATATCCCCATAGTAGAGATAAGCATTTTCCACTGGATAGAAACTCGCTTCTTGAGTTTCCACCCCTCATTCTCGTATAGTAACCACCGTAGGCAGTGAAGCAGTGTGGCTAAATATAGTCCATAGAGGATGTCCTCTACAAATTGCGCAAGCAAGTTATTCTCTATGGTAGTTTTAACCATGGTTTGGAGAAGAACTCGAGGACGTATGGGATCCATTATATACAGCACGCTCTGACCAAGTCTGTCAAAGTTGTCATTCGTGCGAATACTATTTGTAGTCATAACTGTACATCGCGACATATGCCGCCATTATGGCTGTATCATCATGTTGTTGATTCTTCAGAAGATGATTGACACTGTTTCAGCAATAGTTCGTTATAAGTAGACCATAGATTTTTTGTCGAATTAAGCATCCAATCTAGGAAGGAGATGGAAAATGTAAGAATGTGGCATTATTGGGTTTTTAAACCATTTTCAAACCACGGTGAAACTGTAACTCTTCGCTTTATATCGTGAAATGAGAACCAAAACGTGCGAAGGACGATAACTATTCTCACCTTGAATGTTATATTTTTAGCATGCCATCCATGCCGTGCACCATATCCATGTCAATTTATCCCACCATGATATGGCTATGATATCGTAAGTGTTTAATCGCTTGTTAATTTGTACAGGTCTGATTTCGAACCTCTTCCCTAAAGCTATGAGCCCACTTTACTGCTACCATTCCATTTTCTCGAAGCTTCATACCATACATGTACGTTAAATGCCAAGCGTTCACTAAAGCTCGTTGAATACTCAACGTAAATAGCTTGGTTAATGGTCTCCTGGAATAGCTCGTCTTTAATTAACATCTCAATGGTACGCAGATCAATCTTTCACTGTCACTGAGAACCTGTTTGGCATGCTTCAGACTAACGGAGTCGCGTTCCTAATCGACGAACAAATTATTGCTTTTTATGCATAGTAATGCATATGCAGACCAAGGCTTTCTGGAAAGCCAAAAAAAAAGGTTTGCTTATCACTCGCATGGAGTTAAACTTCGAAGGTACAAAACTGGACTGGATAAAGCTAGCCTTATTAAAACCAAAAACCTCTGGGAGCGAAAGAATCCGGATGTGGATAGATTTTTTTGGATGTCGTGCCCTCTGGCCGGAAGAAAATACATAATGCTCCACTGACGTGACGCCCATGGCGAAGGAGCATCTCGTTGATGGAACAACTGATTATGCTCATCAATAGGTTCGAAACTGTATGATTGACAAGAATGGGAAAGTTCACCTGAAAGTAAGCTCGTCAAAAAAGTGGAGATCACCCTCAAAGCTCGGGTGAGAATGCCTTTTAACAGCCCTAATCATCACACCAAGCGCGTGAGAGGGGTTTTAAGGAATGACAGTGAGAGACGTTCAGTCTATGTTTAGCTTGTTGATGCAGCATCAGGTTCGAGATTGAAGATATTTGAGAAAAATGATCATGAGGGTCGGAAATCAGGTTGTGTTTTCGAACAATGACAGTGTTTCCTTCGAAGAATTTTTCTGCTTTGTGACCCTCAGTAAAAACGTAAATTCAGGCCACACTCCAACAACAGTCCTGTATTTAGGCATCTGACTAAAGTCGGTCGAATTGTCATGTTTTTTGACTAACAGTTTTGCGGCGCTGGCAGCTATTCTATGAACCGGAGATCGTGAATATGAGACCTTATGTATACGCAGTATTTGGATCACTGTGCACTGTGGAAAATAGGGAGAAGAGTCAACGTACGTCGGTAAAACGCAATGGGTGTACCTTCACCATGGCTTATTATAATAGGTGAGGCCTTGAGGTGTCATTAGTAGTAGTAGGTACAGCTTGCGAAATATATGTGCAAGAACTTGCCAGATATTCTGTATAGTCGCGTTCGGGGAAACCAAGATGCGATTGAAAATTCAAAGAAACAGAAAGACAGGGAGGGTTCAAGCTGTGTAGTGGCTGTGTCAATTATTTGCGTTGATATTTCATCTTTTAACGGTTAAGATCTCAGTCAGGTTGATTTAGGGGGCCCTTTGCCTTCAACATCTTCATCTTCGTGGCCCCATTTTCAAAACTCGTTCTTCCACTTCAACGAACCGATCGCCACCAGATCCATCTCTTCGGTGTGATTCGCTTGGTGTTCACCTGCGTCCAACAAAATGATGCCGTCGTGCTCGTACCAGACTGACATTTTCTACTTTTTGAAGCTAGGTCATAGAGCAACAGTAAGTACATTCACCATCTTAATTCAATACTGAACCTCATCTTACTCTTCATCAACCAGTTTGACTTCGCATGCCACTCATCCTAACAATATGAGCGCAGGAGAACATCCGTTTCGCAGCTCGAGCGACGTGCATACACCCAATGTCTACCCGCTAGTGACTGTCCTCCGAGGCTTCGCGATCTAGCACCCAGATCACGCTCACCACCGTATGCCACGCGCTCCCAAAACCCTCAAACGCCCGCTCCTGCACCGTGTACCGACGCTCTCGCCATCCTATCACACTACTCTCTTTCAGTGACCCAGCCTCTGTACCATCGAGAGCGTTATCATCCAGATGTTGATGGGATGGGTGCAAGGGAGTTGAGGCGGACGGAGTCTGGTGGCGCACCGTCAGTGTCCACGTTGAAGTGGGTACAGGTCCAAGAGGATGAATGTCGGGGAGTCGAGGAAGATGGAGCGTAGGGCATCTTTCAGGCTAGAGCGGGTTCGTGATACATTACTGTCTGCTGACTGTCCAGGGGCGAGGGCAACGAGAAATCAGCGTGCCATGGCGTGTCAGGCGTGACAGGCGCAGGCGTGCAGCGGCGTGCAAGCGTGCAAGCGCGCACATTACAGTGTTCTGGCGGTCCTTGCGACACT